GGTAGTGTTCCCAAAGGGCTGTTCTTATACGCCATCGGTGAGAAACTGTTCAAGCGCAGATACTAGCCACCCCATGTGGATTTACGGTAGGCAGGAAGTTGCAAAGTCCTGTTCAGATATCGAGTCATAAGGATACCTAGGAAGGCCACAGCTCTGTAAGCCGTCGAATGTTTTGTGTACATAGTAGTATAATATCCATAGGTATTCATCTGGGACACCCAGTGAGATCTTATGCATAGTAATATGGTCACAAAAGTAATCAACCGTTCTCTTTAGCGGAACATTGGTATACACAGAAACAAGGATAATGGAAAGTTCCTGGAACGTATTGTCAAACTGTGAAGTGTCAAAAGAAGTTCAGAGTAGTCTTCCATGCAATAGGGATGTCAATACTAATGAGATGTAGCACCCTTTCGGTATTCATCATCATCACTGTCAGCTGTAAGAACCGCGTACTTGTCGTACAGTGGTTGTAGCTGCCACAGTTTCGTTTACCGATGATTCGGGGAGGTGGGGTAGGTTGCTGCGTATTGGAGGCGGGAGTTGATAAATTAGTGCATAAATATAGCACTGTAGGTGGACTGTTAAGTGGGGGAGTTGGGAAGTGAGCTATGCATTGAAGGCGATAGCTTGGATGCATTAGCACCATTGAGGGTGCGACTGGGCCATGTCTAACAATGTCTCTAACCATTGATATGGCCTGTCTCGTGGTGCCCATCCAGGAAGACGGCAGTGACCAGCGCAGCTGAGTTTGCTGGTAATTGCTTTCATACTTCGCTGCCCAGTCATTGTTTGACCGCCTCTGGCTCTAATCCACTCTTCACGTGGTTGTGCGAAAAAAGCCCTTCGAGGAAGTCGGTCGACTGGCATACGCAGCACGTGACCAAACCAGCGCAAATTATGCAGTGTGATTGGTTCATCTATCGAGGGTGAGTTATTTCTCCTGACTTGTAACCCGAAGGAAGCATACGGGGCTAAGATACTACCATGACGCCCAAGCTCAGACATGAGCAATTAGGATGCCAGCGAACGGGGAACAGAAGCGAGGAAGAGCAACTTCACGGCGGGTTAAATTTCGCAGTTTAAAATAGTTTTCACGAACAATTTTTTTCTGGATACTTGATGCACCCCTAATCATGCTGTTCGCGTTTGAATCGGTTTTTGGCGTTTTTATCGTGAGCCTAAGATGAGACCATGCAGTCTAAGCAGCTGAAGGTTCCTATCCACATGCTTCTCGATCAAAAAGTTATTTCCAGAGGATGTGTATTACCTCAATTTCCGTTCATCTACAAGTATCCCGGTCACTTTTGTTATACAATCTTCCGTATTCGTGATAAATAAACTTGATCCTTTGTCTGGTAGCAAAAACGTCAAGTAATTCATTTAGCGTAGCTATCTGAGGGATTGATAGCACTAAGGCATCAGGCAACAAACTTGTCCCCTTGTGGCAGACAGGAACCCATTTTATAAATCAAGCAGTTTTTCTTGTTCTTTCGTCATCAGTTGGAGAGAGCTCACTAACTTCGTCGCATGGGTTCTGGAAATAGCCTTTAACTTGCAGTTCGTTCACTTTTCAACTTAAAACCTGGCGACGAAACCTCGAGTAGTGCTCTCGTGAACGATATTGAGGAGAGATTGTGAACGAAATGGACTGAAGCAAATGGGGAAGCTTGGCTGGTTGGTCGTCTGATGGACCGACTGCTCTAGTCTCCTGAGTGTATTCGGTTTGATCTTCGCGGGGGATTTTCTGCAGAACTTCTGGAACTTGATACGACAGACCGAGAATAGGTTATTCAGTAGGACAGCAAAACGTTTCAGTAAACTAATTTTACTGCACATGAGGACTTCCAGTAGGAGAGTGAATAGGTCTGACATGATTAGCACTGGTGTGTTGCAGCTTGACTCTGGGTAGTAACTTGCTGAATCCGTTTGCAGAAATGACCCAAGTGTATACATCCTTAATAGCAAGAACATACCAAGAACAATCTGTGCGCAAAAAAAGACTGAGTCAGGAGATCCGTTGACCTTGAAACTAACTCCATCACGAGACATCATGTGGCGTTCGATATTCAGTCTTTTTTAGCATACATTTTGCACATAAATATATGTTGTTTTACGTCTGGGACTGATGAAATTATTGTTACCGAAAAGGTTTTAGCTAGCATATGAGTAGTGCGTTTTGACGAGAAAGTATAGAGAACTCCGTACTACTCACCACATTTCGTCTAATTCTTTAGTAAAGCTCTCTTTCCTCGATGTTCCATCACCAATAGGCGTCAATATGAGGTATTGGTCTGTCGCCGTTACTTATGATGATGATGATGATGATGTAGAATATGGACATCACAGTGAAACTTGAAACGAACGCCCGAGAGCATTACAACCGTTAAAAAATCAGAGGTGAGAAAAAAGTTTCGAGGAGCGTGTACAGCAAAGTTGAAGGGCAACGAGGATCTGGAAGAAGACTAGAGAGAGCAGCCTTGTCAGACCTAAATGGATGAGAATAGCTCGAGTGAAAGCTTATCGAATACGCGTACGCGTCTATGGAAGAGAACGTACGTTGCTTTCACAGTGGATGAGAATTCAGCCAGTCAGATGTCAGAATACTCCTCGCTAATCAACACAGGAAAAATCAGTTTTCAGAAAAAAGGGAACAGTTACTGTTGGTGGCTGGCGCTGTCTTTCAAGATAAAAATGGTTATACTATACTTAGTAACTACTGATACGGTGTGGAGGAAAAAGTGGGTGTTGGTAGGATCTCTACAAAGCGTCATTATCCTGTTCAACAAGACTATAAGTGAACGAGTTGGCAATCCTGCTTGTTCGTTCATGCCCGAATTCGAGCACCTGAAGGTAATAATTAAACAAAGGACTACCTTGGGAAAATCGGGGGTCATAGATCATGGGAATTCTGTTGTGAATCTGACCTCTCTTGGTCAGGTGCCATACTTAGAACATTGAAAATATGATCAATGGCGTTTCGGTGAGCGCACAACATGTCGGCTTCTCCGAATCATTGAGTATCTGATTTCATTCCCATCCGATTTCCAGGCTTACTGTCGACATGCCTACCGAAATGGTAGTTAGGTTGGTCTGAAACCGTTGAATTGCCGTCGCGCCGGGTGAACTAAACGCTTCCGGTATGTAGGCAAGGGTAAATGGCTAAGTGTAGCGGTTTAAGGCTGAAAGACGTGAGTTCATGACACTGAAAATAACGACAAACAGGTAGATAGACAGTAAATAGATAGTAGGTAGTCACCTCCGCGGTCGGTAGGACAGAGTAGATAGACAAATAAAGAGAGGTAGTCACCTCCGCGGTCGGTAGGACAGAAGAGAGTATAGGAGTGTTGGACACAACTGACCTGAGCAAGATTATTCCACCGTCCTAAATCGTACGGGTATTGGAATGGTTGAAGGCCTGCTTCTTTTCGCCAGTGATTAGCCTGGTGTGTGACAGAAAAAAATACACGGTAAGATTGGGGGACGAGGATCGCGGTGGTAAGATGAAACAGGCAAAAGAGGCGTGTGACGTAAACAGAGCAGGCTCATATAGCGCAATAGGAATGACTATTAGGTTTAGCGCAAGTAGGAGTACTAGATTTGAGCTACGCCTTGGTTAGAGCTGAAAGTCGAATTCCGCGCATCTGACAGAGAATAGGGTGGGATCAATCCACTGGTGCACACCAGATGCATCTGAACTTATATGACCACGGAGGCGTCGTATCTTTATTTGAATGTAGTTTTGTTAGGTCTGTCAACCACCCATTGCGCAGCAGTCGCGGTTGTACCAGTCGATGGCCGGCTTGTACCATCAGCACCAGCGGAATAAGCATTGAAATTAGAGTCGCGTACTCATCCCTATGGAAAGTTCGCTTTCGCCGTGAATCAAAAGGTTGGTGCAAATGAACCAAACGCGGGGAAACTGCACTGGGATGGCTTCCAAAACATTCGGGCAACCTGGAGACAGTCAGCTGTGGTTTGGGCGCATTCACATTAAACGGTTTGAACTAAAGTAGAACTTTTCAATAGTTGAGGTAGTGCAAGGAGATTTAGTAATTTTCAACTGAGGTTTCGTCCTGTATGTGGAGCCAATCTATACCGTAAAGCCGAGGAGCACAATACACCTGTTTCATCCCTATTTGGAAATATCAGCAGTGCGCATTTCACGAAACTCGAACCGGCTGCCTCCCGGCTAGTATTTCGAAACCTTGAGTGTCCAGCACAGAGCGCTGATTAGCATTGTAACTCGCATTTGAACGGAATATAGCATCAGTCACCCTTCAACCACGGAAACCACAGCACGCGGTCATACCGATGACTGGTTCCTCGAGTGATGAAACTTTCGTCCATCATTGAGCTACTTATGGGTTGGTGGTAGTGTGGAGAGATTTGGTAATTTTCAATTTCCAATAGTGACTGCAAATGGACTTGCTCGAAAGTCACTCTAGAGAGATGGACATCGAGGAGCGCCTGGGGGTGAATAAGACGCACGAGACATTAACGGTTTTCTTCACATTTAGATCAAAACCTATGGACCTGGTTGAGTGGGCCGCAACAAGTGGGACTCGTATAAGGAGCATGATGTACAGGGATTTTCCACTCGGAAGTCGTGGCAGAAAACAAAAATTAACACATTGGATGGCTTTTTAGCTACCGGCTGTTACGGTTGCTATGGACGCACAGTATTTTAGAAGACCATGAACCGGGTACACATTGTGAGGTTTAAAGAAATCAAGCACACTGTCCCCATCGACAGCCAAAATAAGAAAATGTGAGAACCAGTGAGACGCAGGGCAGTGCATAGGTCATGACAGAATCATAGGACACCCTAGAAAACCCACAGAAATTTGTCTGCACTACTTGTTTTTCTAGGTGTATTGAAATTCTGAGCCGGAACCGATAAAACACACGTGAACAGTTTGCTGTATGAATGCTCAACAGCACCACGAAGAATCTATCGAGCATATTTACGGAATAGCTCTACTCAAAGCGTTCGTACTCATTCGGAAAACTCGGATCCGCAGAGAGAAACCACATTTTACTACCATAATGTTGCATGAAAAGTGTGTGCACGGATCCACAGAGAAACCATATTTTGCTACCATAATGTTGCATGAAAAGTGTGTGCGAGCCGCAGATGCTCGGGAGAGGGCAGATTTCGTCCATATGTATTTCAAAGAAGCTTTTGACAGAATTCGATCCAGTCGAAAAGCCGGACAGTTTCAGTTAACATCTTTATGTCGCACACAAGCACATCCGTTGCAAACCAAAGACACACAGCCCTTTAGATACTAAGTTCCGGGATTACAACTCCATCTTCTGGAAGAATAGTGGGAAGCAAGTACCTCAGCCCAGAGCAGCAATAAGCGGTGTAACACAATAGTAAGGTCTTCTCGGGGAAGAGTGCTTCCAATAGGGAGCAACCCAAGGAACAGGTCAGAGTAGCCTCTTCTGGAGTGAGGCTCCTAAACGAGAAGGCCGGTTAGAGCACTGAAAGCTGAATAATCCCTGAGATAAACAATTGAGTAATTTATCACGTAACATGTCATCTCTGTTTGCATTTCAAAGTACATTTTATTCCACATAGAGTATCTAATATGGACCAAAATGCTTTTTCATGATCTTTGAACCCGTCTTTCAAGTTTCTTGCAGAGGTTTGAGTGATTCTCCTAAGGTATCACCATCACATAGAAAGTAGCACTTACGGCAAGGTGCTACTAGGTGAAAGATGCAATCTAACGGTAGGGTGATTAGCACACACACCACAGTCAGAAGTCGGAATACCAGACTGGGCGAAATCAACATGATATTTTTGGGCACCTGGGTACTGTTCTACGTTTGAATTATCGGGTTGCATTCACCAAAAACGACAGATTCTGGTCGGCGTGTGGAGTTATTAGTTCATTCCACAAAGTAAACTGAAATCGAACTTCGTAGAATGGGTTATGGCTCTATGGTATCACGCAGCTTTGATTAGGATTCAGTGGCAGCATAATCCACTTAGATCCCAAGCCGCTCCACCAGTTGCCTATAATATGCGTCCTACTTTACAGTTGCATGGGATCACGTTATCAAGCTGGTATAATCATAGCATTCAAGCTGCTGTCACATAAATTGCTTGAAGTGTTAAGCTACCAAACTTTTGAGTGGTATGAAGCGACGCACATGTTCCACACACGTTTCTTCAGTCTTCGATGGTACTGTAAGCAGCGTCCTATATCACTTTTACTGAGCCGAACGATCGGCATTTTGAAGATGTTTCCCACAATGTGGCCGTCTGAGGAACTGGGTCAATACAGCTGGATTAATGGCCACACAACAGAGATTTGATCGAGGCTTACCGATGTCTTGGGCTCACGTTTTAAAAACATAGATTGTGTATCACTGTAATCCCCACAAGTCGCGAGGTTATTGCTTTGTACAGTAGGTTAGGCTGTCAGGCGCATTGATCAGACGTACATCACGTGACAAGAAGTGCTAAATTTAGCGCCTAAACATCCAGGATTGGCATAGCTAAGCAGAATTTAGTTGACATGCTTAGTGACATTCATTCATACGTCCTGATTTCTACAAAAGCAGTCGCTGATAAGCGAAAACAATCAAGTCCCTTTGGGAATCATACTCGGAGGGATAAACTGAATAGCAGCTTTTCAAAAGTCACCGTCAGAATATGCTAGTGAATCGAAAATACGGGCAACGGCTAAGCCAGACGTTGCTATACACTAATCATGAGGAATGCTGTGTGCTTTATGTGGAATCAATCCAATTTCCGAAGGTCGATGATACCAGCGGTTATCTACGCAGAGGGACAGCACGTAATCAGCCAGTGACTCGTTTCCTTACATAACATGAAACGCTTCGGTTGTAGCGAATGAGACAACGAACGAAATTTACAGGCTTCCGTCATAAGGTTCATCCACCGAGGCTAATAGTCATCTAGGTAACCTTCTTTATACTTGGTGAGGGGTCAGTTAGAAGAAGACCAGGAGTAAACAGTAAGAACCATATCCGAGAACTGCTTGAACTGCACGCATAATACTCTTGAGAGTGATCGCGACTTCACTTAATGCTTCAACCGGGCCGATGGTGAAACTAGACTGCCCGTGTGAGATCAATTAAAAATTCCCTATTTCCTATGTGCCGCATGGAGGACCAATGAGCGTACAGTCATAGGGTCCGGATTGCGTGACATCAGTCGTGAAAATGCAATCCAGTATGCGTTTCACCCACCAGATGGACGTAACGGGATGAGTTGTACAGCTATTATCCATGGAATCATGCAGAACTTGATAACACTTGCTCACACGGCGCAAATAGAGGATATCACCACCATTATGATCGCCAGCTGTACAAACCGCGTACTTGCCGCACGGTGATTATAGCCGCCACAGTTTTGTTAGCCGATGATTTTGGAGGTGGAACACATAGCTGAGCGTTGGAGGCATTTGCTGATTTAATTAACATATCAATGGACTTTCATTGAGGAGATCGAGAGGGGAGTTGTGAATTGAAGGCAACAGCTTGGATGCATGAGCGCAAATGAGGGCACGACTGGGTCATGTCTGACAACGTCTCTAACCATTGATGTGTTCCGGCCCGGTGTCCCGATCCTGGGAGACAGAAACGATCAGTGCAGCTGAGTTTGCTGCTGGGTTCAACCTTTGACCTTCCCTGACTCGTTTCTACTCTTCGAGTGGTTGTGCGAAAAGGGCTATTAGAGGAAGTCGGTCAACTGGCATCCGGAGCACGTGACTAAGCCAGGGCAACCTGTAGAGTGTGATCAGTTCATCTATCGTGGGCGACTTATTTCTGTTAGACGTACTTCCGCATTACGGATACGATGTCCTCCCCAGATTCTGGTGATCATCTGAAGATATCGACGGTGAAACACTGGAAGTTTTCTAACGTCCTCAGCAAGCAGCGTCCAAGTTTCTGGCCTGTGTAATGATACGGACTGCACGCTCGAACCTTGACAAGTAGCATTCTAGGCATGTCACTACAGTGCAACCTGGTGGTGGTTAACCCTCAGCAAGCAGCGTCCAAGTTTCTGGACCATGTAATGATACAGACTGTACGCTCGACCCTTGACAAGTAGCATTCTAGGCACGTCACTACAGTGCAACCTGGTGGTGGTTAAATGATCCCAACAGAGGGTAGACAGCTTAAAGAGGCCAGTAGCGAGAGAAGATTACATCTCCACGGTGGTGTTCTCTTTTCATGGTTACTGTATGGGAGCGTACCAGATTATAGAAAACTGCAGAAAAATGCGGATTTTTTCGGAAAGTGCAGCTGTCTTCGACTAATTCTCCGTTCTAGTTGGAATATCGCACAACTTGTGTTGAATTTCTGCTTCCGAACAAACTTCGCGCTTGTTCGGCGGGTGAATGGTATCAGTCAAAACCATTCGTGGTGACCGCTTTATTTTGATCTCATCGTCTACATTATCCTCACCGAAATTTTCGTTCACTCCCAAACACTCTCTTGCAATTACGTCACGATCTACAGCAGACGGAGTCCTGAAACACAACACGGAAAACGAGCACCGCCCAAGTATAAATCTCTATCTAAGATTCCGGTGGCACCAAGGTCACGATACCAATGCCGAATTTCGGAACACGGGGTTTCACCATCAGTCGAGAAATAGTCAACTAGACAACTTTTGGTCACACGGTAGACGAGAGTACGCCAAGTTCTATTTTGGCATGAAAATGACCAATACCCTCGTCGGAGGAGCACTCAGCTGTAATACTCTTTCGGTGCCTAGTTGCAATGCCACTTGAAGGAAGTACGAGGACTGAGATAATGTCACGTTGTTCAAACAAGAGCAGTTTTGGTTGGTCGGTAAGTTCAAGCCTTATTCACTGAACTATGAAGAGGTAAGCTGAACACTAATCGACTCGGGTATGAATTGGAGGCCATCTTCCAGCTAGGCTGGCAATGTTTCGTATAGTTTGGCGGCCGTTGATGCATTCGCCTAAAACTCATGAATTAGGTCACGTGAAATTTTACTTGACCCCTGAAAGGGTGTTTATCGCTATTTTCCAAGGACGTCCGTGTACGCGGCCTTCTTTCAAGAAATCACTGTCCGAAAAACAAATGGTTCCATCTTCACCTTTTAGAAAAGGTGAATCCCATGTAAACATAACGAAGAATGCCATTTGCACTTGGAATAATTGAGACCCAGTCCAACCAATGCACAAACATCTATAAGCATGTGAAACAAAAACTCACAAATAGCTAACCTTGGCAACAATCCAAGATTCTATTCCGGTTTGATTCTTTTGAATATAATACAGCTGATAGAGGCCGAGTCCCCCAACAGCCAAAGTGACACCCACAGCCAGGCCAAAGGCAAACATGACCAAGAACATCTCCGTGAATATTTGGATTAGGCTTGTGAATTGTGGACGGACGAACAAATAGGGGAGCTGGGGCAAGTGCCAAAAGGGAAGGAGGGATGGAGTTAGCAGACTATGCGGGAACCACAGTAGGTAGAAGCGAGACATAGAGCTACATACCACCAGAAACTTTTTGAAACCGATCAAACATAGTCCTGGGGGTAGCGAATTGAAATACTAACAAGGAAATACGTGACATACAACAGTACGTTCCAAGACCATCCTTCATGTTCATCTGCTAAGCACGGATCAAACTAAGTGAAATTTTGTTACCTGGCAACGAGTACCGCCAGAAGCCCAGCTGAGGGTTCACAGCAATATGCTTGAAGTGATAAAACGGAAAATAGACGGGACAAACAATTTCGGTTACCATCCCATCAGTAGGGAATGTTTTTAATGCAATGCGACCTCAAAAGCGCTGTTTCCATAGTTTAGGCGTACTTTTAACCAGTGCATGGACGACAGTAAAAAAAAAAGAAAAAGCATGGACGACAATATGATCAACGCTTCCTCAATCGTTTGTTATAACAACGAAAAACTTGTTTTTTCTGACCTCCGGTACCTTTATTTGCCAAGTGTGACAGTGTATGTCTCACATGTTCGCAAGACTGCGATCTGGCCAGTCATGCTATTAAGCGAAGTTCACTCTTGTTGCTGAAGTCGAATAAGCGCAACATTGAATAATCTTGGTGAGGGACCTTGCACGCTAACAACAGCTTCTCCAATGATTCATTTAAACACTGGGATGAGTGTTGTCATCATCTCACTGTCACGACTAGGGAAAGTGAAATGTCTCAACAATGTACCACGAATCTCCCATCTCAAAAAGACCGGAATTCCGTTTCACCGCTCAAAAAGCTGGCGAATCGGTCAACCTGTGGTCTTGAGCAGGAACCAACCGAAAACTTGCGGAACATGTTAGCTTGCGCAGTTAGCAAAGACGTGATTGTACGATTAAAAATGAGTTGACGGTAACTTTGAAACGAAAGTGTGGAAACAGTAGTCTCGTCTCGTTCAATGAAAGTATAGCAAAACAACGGATAATGCGTGATAATGCTTGGATACATCATCGAAAACTGTCTCTCTCTAGATGGAACGGTACTCGAGGGAGGATCCTTGACTTTGTTGCGCCTGTTTTCCTTTTTCTGGTGAGCTGTGTCGGTCTGACACCACTTACCACTAGCTGACAAGTTTTTTCATCCTATTGAATCTAAGGGTGGCGAAGTTATTGGGCAAAACGGGGCGTGTACTCGTAAACACTAGAAGGCACGGTCGGAAACGTGCGGGTAGGACGATTGAAGTTCTCATCGAAAAACCAAGTAGAACATACGGTACACGAGATCAATCAGGCGTGGGTGGTTGTGTGTGTCAGTGCAGCACAGTCACTAGGCGATACTTAGAAGACACCGAGCAGTAAATCCTTCTCCGTTGGAACAACAATATGGACCGAACAACCAGTATACCAATACGGGCGGTGTACATAAATCATAGATGTGGGATCGCCCTGAGGCGTTAAACGTCCTAAGACCGTCAGATTATTGAATGAGTAAAAAAATGCTGTGTCAACTACAAACGGTAAACGAACGCATTCTTCGTGAGTTTAAGTGGTTTTGCTATCGTGCGTCTTCTGTGCCAGAGATGGAGGGGAACAGTGATGTGGTTTGAAATCGCAAGTAGCACGACCCGAGAATGACTGAGCGGTAACGCAACCAAACTACTGGGCAAATGCGGATGGAAGTAGAGTACGGGGTTGTAGTTGAACAAGCAAGAGGACGAATTACCGTGGAATAGTTCAAAATTACACGGGACCTCATCAGTAGTTCACCGAGGCCAGCTATCGAATTGCTGTCCACCTCCGTGGTTTCAGCGACATAAAAGTTCTATACATATCTCAGCTATTCTGCTTCCAATATGTCAGTACCTTGTCATGTAGGCTATCTCGCGCGGTCGACATCCTACTGGTACTTGTACAAACTGACGAATAACGTAGCAGGAAAAAAGATATTTCAACAACATGCAATTGCATGTGACTGTGCAGTGCACTCGACAAGAATAGACAAATTTAGCAGTAGCAAGTGACACAGGAACGTCGATATGCCACTGGATGGAAAGCACATTTAGTCTGACATTGTAGGAGCGACGACCTTGAAAATTACGCACGGCAATCACTCTTCATAGAAAACTTGCGTTCAAACAGAATCTCGAAGAAGTTTCCGCTATTCTCAGTGTTTTCGATCCTCCAGTGTTTGGATCCTCCATGAGAGCGAAATCAAACAGAACAGTACTAACTCTCCCTTAACTTTGTTAGATATTCTGTCTGAAGTTTCGCTCTACATCTTTGATACTCTGGGGGATGGAAATGCTCTCAGAGCGTTCGCTCACAGTCATCAATAACAGAGACAATGTTATGCTTCTTGGATTAGATCTCTTAAAAATGTAAAGCGCCTTGAACAACTTAATTCTGCCCCGCGGTTTGGCATTCTCTACAAAGCTTCAAATTGTTAAGCTCTGTTGCAAACACTCATGGGTTCAAACGTGGTAGGCAGCTGAGCAATTGTGTAAGTCACAGTACGATATCAATTCTCGGACCATTAGCGTGGCCGTAAAGGGTAGACCTTAATCTACGGAAGTCTGACCTATGCTATTTCATGGACCTGAGACATGGTCCGTGCGCGTAGAAGACAGCGGAAATTCAATATCTGGACAAGGTCGTTTCCAAATCATTGCTCGAGCCGGTGGGAACTTCGGAGCAATAATTTGGAAACCAGCTGACTAGTTTCAGAAGAATTAAATCGTCCAAGACAGATGAATCAGTTATGCCCCATGGGAAAGGTCAGTTAGACCATGAAGTTTATGTTCGAGGGCCGTTCGCTTCACATGTACGATTCTGTGCAGCCTTGTGTAGGGGCGTAACGATTAAGATGCGAAGGTCTTGATATAAAAGTCGGTAGCGTGGGGAAGGCAAGATCCATCGATCGTTGGTGGCATTGGTATACACAGTGGTACATCTGCACCAATAGTATCGCCTTTGAGGGACGACCGTCGTGATTCTCCAGTACGAAGAAGACAACAATTTGGGATCTTTACAGCCGACAGTCCATCGTCCCGGTGATTGTTCAGTTCCCATTTTACATGGTATCGATGTAGAAATCTGAACAGCAGTTGTAAGGTGCCGATGATGCACGGTTTGTGACTGAATAACAGAAATGAACTAAATAAAACACGTGTAATAAACAGCGGGGGTCGTTGAATATAAACCATCTTATACAAAATGGAAGTAGAAGATAGAAGTGTCCATATTATTGGCAATAATAACAGATAACCTCCTTTCAGGCATTTCTGAAAGGTTTGAGTTAAAAATAAAACGTTCAGCTGTAACACCCTTGCGGTACCCGTGCAACAAGAAGGAAGCATGAAGGCTGGGATATTGCCAGGTTGCCCAAGCCTAGGCAGGGAAGTCGGGAGGCAGTGGTCGGGGTTCGAACCTGGACCTTCTGGCCAGTAAATTCGCGCTCTGACGACTTGAGCCATCTCGCCCAGGTGAGGGTCAGTGCTGTATGGTGACACAGTGATTACGGCTGATGATTCTGTTCTACGAAAAAACAGCATTTCAACAGGCTCTGTGGTTCAAAATTACCCGGCTTAGTTGATTTGGGGGCACCTAATTACTCGAACTTGTGTCAGCTGTACACTGAAGGTGTGTTTGGTGCAGCTTTGATGAACCCATGGCAATGTTTCAGGCACTCAGTTGCAGGTCAAGAAGAACCACATTTGTGCCCGTACAACACAGTTAAAAGACAAACTAAATTTACTGGCGAGGTTGTCTAATTACTGGTGGCCTTCTGACAGTGCACACAGGACCAACACCAAAATCTACCTCACGGAATAATCTAGTAAAAACCCAAAACATCAACTGAACAACAAGGATTTTTCCACAGACTGTGAGCATGAGGCCTAACACAGTTTCTAGGTCATGGGGTGCGTTTGAGTATGCCACGGGAGGCTTTTTTGGTGTCGTTCGGTCGCCAAAAACAATAGAGAAAATTAAACTGTAATCGGGACGCAGAACAAGAAAGCGCATTGACAAATAAGAAGAGCTGAAGTGACGTAAATTGCCCACAAAGTCAACATTCCAGACAGAATCGCCAAGAAAAGATAGGCAAAGATCTGAATATATCAAATTCACAGCTCGAGTAAGCGAGGTACAGTGAAACAGCCTCCTATATTCCACGAACGTGGAGTGACAATGAATTGCGGACCTCAGCGTAAGAGAAACGCCACAAAAAACACAAACAGAAGGTATACAGCGTCATGAAATCAAAGTAGGGCTGTTAAATTTCCTTTGCTAATCCACTGTTCGATTCCGCAGTTCTCAGCCTGAAACACCCCCCTCCTGAGGTCATTTTTTAAAGTCCCACAAGGAAGGGAAAAGAAGGCCCACAGAATTGGAGTAACCAAACGCTGAAGAAATGGTGTGGAACCTAAACATCAGCGTTTGCACCGACTGAAACCCATCCTTGTTACCTTTATCTAATAACTACCAAAAGATTAATACTGATGGCAGACGCACAGTGGGGATGTATTTTAGCACTGTAAGACAGGTTGAGCACTGCAGAAGGCTTGTTGGTCACCTTTTCACACCTTTTCACGAAGGCGATAATTATGCACGTTGTGTGCACATAGAAACAATTGCATCTGTTTCCACAACAATTGCAAATGGTGCGCAAGGTCCAAACGCGATTTCAGTCCCGACCATGTACGTTTCTTCACGAAATCCACAATGATTCCTGATTAATAGTCGCACCAACAGCCTACGCAGAATGGAACCAGAGACAGCGCAACCACAGTCAGATGATGCAGGCTACACAAGTGAGATATGAGCAGCCGACTGGGTGAAGAGCTTCCACAGACTACGACGCAAATAGGTCCGGCCCAAAATGAGACGATTGTTCAACTGGGAGTCATGTGAGCATGTGTTCTACAAAACCCCGCAAACCTGAAAAAATGTTTGCCTGTCATCGATAGCTCATGAAACCGAGAGTTGTTTCGAGAACCAACTTTACTACCACTTGTGTAAATCTTATGCCTTATCGATCATAGCCAACAGATCCCAGTTGGTGTATTTTCTTTACTTCATTCTCGGGAAGACTCGAGGTATGTATGACTAAATCGGAGAGTTTCGCCTATGAGTCGTGCTTCTGGTCATAGAATAGCGGAGTTTCTACTTATGTTGACGGTGATGATGATGATGCTGTTGACCAATGCGTGTGGAATCAGCTATGAAGCTTTCAGAAGGAATGGTGCAAACGGGAGCTAAAAGGACACGTGTTCATTAGGCGCCCCACCGGGTCTCGTAAAACTGAGTGGGAGAAAACTAACACAAGCGTCCCATAAGTAAATTACTGTGTTATCAGAACTTCCCAGTTTGGACCGCACATTCAAGGCACGAGTGAGGGTACAAATAGTGAAGCATATTTTTTTGTGAGTGGTTCTCATTTGAATTAGGGGTAATGTACTCAGAAGAGTGCACGGCGCGGAACAGGTTGATAATCAGTTTCGCCCTTCTTGCGGCTCATTAAGTAGGCACAGTCCCCACGTTTCCGTCAACCTTATGTTCTACTTGAAACCAAATTGCAAGAAATTAGCGAAAACTGATTTGGTTTTGCGAGAGACTCACTTGGAACCCAGCTGAATCTCCCGTTTGTGATGTTCCCAGGCAACTGAATGTGCTGCACCAGGTCGCCTCATATTTCAGTCGCTAGGATATTCGAGATATCGCGATATGTGTATATTCGTAATGCACTACTCATAAGGTTGCTGAAAATTCGCCGACAGCCCACGACCGTTTTCGCCGCTCAAACGCGGTTATTCTGGTTAGTTCACATCAAGAAATGAGGTAATAACGTCGAAATTGAAGCATCGTCAGTTCCGAACAGCTGACATGTGGAACGAGCATGTAACTTCCACTCTTTTAAAGCACGCTGGACGCACCTGAATAATCATGGCTGAACAGACAAAGATGCTTGATCAGCATTGTGAATGACTGGTCCAATAGGTCCAACGACAAATGTCCTGGTTATATGCCAAGCGGATGTGATAGGGGTAAATATTCTACAACTATTCCAAACTACACAGCCAAACAAGGATGATCAAGAGAGTCCAACCGTCCGGAGCGCCATTTACCAGGAAGCTGTTTTGTTGTGAAATATATGGGTGATATGATAGCTTGTCTGCGGGGCTTGCCAACCGGACTGCAAACGCTTCGTCACCAATTGAGGAGACACCATGCTCACACTGACAATGTAAATTTGTGGTGTAACGCATATGTAAATGTTGGAACTTAGGACTTGGAGATTCTTGATGACAACGCTTGGAAATCTGAAGCAGAGAAGCACTGTCACAAAATAGTGTGTAGTCGCTTTAATGGAATGACGCATTTATACTGCGAAAGATGACAATCATTAACATATTCGGGAACGTTGTAGAGGGCGGACTGTTGCTGAAAATTCACACATGAAGTGTGTCCAGGAACTGGACAAGTTCCTCTCGATTTTCCTTCCTGCACTCTTCACAAGTTTCTGTGAGCCTAATCAGCATGCCACTACTTACATTCAAATCAAAGGTCCGATGGTGACAACCAGCCGATGCACACTTGTCACGTGACCTGACGAAAAAAAGATTATACCAAGCTGCCTAGGTCTAGATACTCAGGTTCGGGTTTGAATTACGAACTGCGGATTCAGATCTTGCGCCTAAACTCCCAGGCAAACACTTTGAACAAACGCAGACCACTGTAAAAAAGAACTGACCGGGATCAGGCTAACGGAGGGACGGAGGTAAAACCAAGATGATAAAAGGACGTCTAGTGATTGATAAGGTACTAAGTATAAATATTACGCGGCGCTGTCTCCAGCGAATTCAGTCGGATATAGAGTGAAAGATGGATCACATCAATGAGAACATCAAGTCTCCGTCACATGTGACGTGGTGCAACGACGTTCAAACGTGAAAAAAAGACAAATCTAAATACCAAAGCACAGAAACCGCATTTGCTACTGAAATCAACGAAGGGACGGCGGAGAATCTATGAATACCTCCATACAGGAGATTACAGCAATTTCAAGCGAACGTATGGAAACTCACATTGAACCACATATTATAGACATGTCTTCCAAGAACAATCGCGGAGGTTGTACAGCCCACCGGTACAGAGAGTAGGAACCAAGTGAAATGTCCATGATTTAAATGCCCACAGCATGTGTTAATCCATGGACAGTGGTGATCCATCTTGAACACACACCGGCGACATGAGCGGCAATGGTGGGATCGAGGCGGTTTGAAACCCTTACAATTCTGACAATATTGTAACTTGCCTTCGGCTTTCGCATCGGACTTGAGTGAGAAACATAGATAACATGTGATCAGTGAAGGACAATTCAATAAGCAGAGTAATCACAAGACAAAGGTCTCTAGAAAAATTTTGGAGTGTAAAAGGACAAGAAAACTGATAAGCTGTACCAAGTTACACTCCTCAGATGAGCTCATCTGTGATACCAACACAGACCATTCATTAGAACAACCACAAAAATGGACATACTAGCTTTGAAAAGCATCATTTTCTCAGCCATCGAACCGCCGATTAACTGCACTTGACAATCAGTACAAACTGAGAATAGATTTGAGGCGTCCTAAATGAAAACTTAACTACTTGCTGGACCCCCGGAAGGAGTAGCTGAATTAGATCATGTAGCATGTTTTCCGCATCGAGTTAACGGAATTTTGGTTACATTGGCGCTTTAAATACCGTTTTTGAATGTACAGAGACCTAATCCCTCCCGTCTGGGCTATGCGCGTCAACGGGGTTGGTGAGGTTTTAGACTTCTGGTACACTCGTACCACCTGCGATTACCTTTTGTGTTGCGCAACTAACCTCAGATAAGAAACGTAAGGCAAGATAACGTAGCAAGATGCCTCACAATAAGTAAGAACGAAAACAAGAGAAATTATCCGGAACTCAAGATTGATGGAGGTAGCCTTGTGTATGTAGGCCCTTATTAGGGTAGCAACTCCATAACCATATGTAATTTTGTGACGTTTATGCACACCACAATCTATCCAGCCTCGGTCAAGAACCAAAAGCCTATCGAGATTGTAGCGTTGGTGAAACTTTGCCCTATAACCAAACAGACATCGGATGAAACCGGGTGGAAACTTTGCCCCATAGCCATGACAATTAAAAACCAAACAGACATCGGATGAAACCGGGTGTATGCGTTGATCGGAATGCTTGGTGAGTTTGGAACACTGCATGGGACGAACTGCTAGATGACGTATCAATGGTAGTGAATGAGAAATCTATGCCCAAATCAAGCGTTCATCTAGACTAGGATGATCTGTCTCAATGCCACCTAGGTTACCAGACCAAGATAAGGAAGATGCTTTTGAACAAAGTACTTTATCCATTTCTAAAACAAAATCAAATTTGACGAACGAAAGTAACGAGATCCAGAGACAAGACCACACAAGGTCCCGGACCACACCTACCGACAGCCATTTAAAAAGCCTTCCCAGAAACCTAGACGGGCAAATACTATTGGAAATATGTGGAAAGATGCTCACAGTTGCTACGGTCATCGCAAAGAAGTCAGTCTATTTCCAACTATTGGAGGGCCCCTGTCAAGTGCCTCTCCGTCGTCGGGATTTTCGCCGAGTAAAGTTGGCATTGACCAAATATCCACATCTATTCAAACAATGGGTCATAGCCACAGTTATGGGAACCCCTCGTAACAGCGATGGGCCTTGAGTGCAAGGCCTTTAAAGCACAGATCTCCAAAAGGTCTAAAAACACTACTTTTTACACACACTTCCAAACGGAGGTGAGAGTGAAAGCGTCTCGTAGATTAGCGGTAACCGGAAAAGCTAGGAACACATATGATTACTGCCAAGCTCCGCGAAGTAAACATCATGAAACCGACCCTGGGTGGCCCAGAAACCCGTGGATTCAGTGACTTAATGAACGAGATCCTCCTTGACTCGAAGTATGGAGGCGGAGATTGGTTCTTCTTCGAGGATGCACGTTCGGAGATACGCTGACTAGCACCTTCATGGTGCGAATACATACTTCAGGATGGATTCTGAATGCCATTGGCGTGACTCGAGCGAACGGGTAGCAGGAGTTGGAATGTCTTGAAGTGTCAGCAACTCCGAGGAAAGTGTATCACGTATGGATTCATCTGCAGATCAAATATTGCACCGCTTGTGGTGTTATGTCCAAGTTTTCTAGCTTTAAATTCTATCAAAAACAATGGTATAGTGTGAACTACTTTGCACTGACAACAAGAAATTTCCTCGGGAAGCGGTCACTGGGACCACAGAAGCGTTAGTGATGTTGACAGGATCAGCAAGGTATTAGGAGCTATTAGATGTCAAGTTTTGCCGCCTGTACTCCACTTACAAAACATACCAACCAGTGTAAATTACGATGGCTTCGTCACTTGGTATACACGACCCTACCGTTTACCGAGAACAGTACCGTTCCCAAGTAGCGCAGATTAAATACTACAAGACGGGTTAGCTGGAAACAAGATCATGGAAAACGTAAGTGCAACTAAGGCGAACGTTCTTCTATCATACTTCGGAGTGTGTGGGATAACTGAGCACTGGGCCAAACACTCATTCACGCTTTCCTAATTCCACTGCCAAGCTTTCAATGTAAACATTATATGGTGTTGCTGGAGTGAGGGGCCCTTATGAATGTTGAATGTAGCAATCCTTCCAGTAAATGATTTGTGCATTGGCGTGACAAGAGCTTAGTGGCACATCCTGTTCTCTGTAGCTGTTTTGGAGTTCAGCCATTGTTGATGGGAAAGTCAGTTTTATAACCCTACCACTATACAAGCACACCGATAATATCAAACTTACCGGTTTCCATGTGAGTGGTACGAAACCCGGACCGAGAAATGTGGCATTGAAATAGGAGTGCAAGATCCGGTAGAGCATGAATGAAATAAATGTGAATTGAAAACAGCCCGGCAGCGACTGAGTCGGTGGTGACAGATAAATGGAACAACGAAGGGCAAAAAATGCAACGTAGAATATGATAAAAAGCGCTATGATGGGTCCCCAGTGAAACAGTCGTCTGAACCTTTGTCGGTTATCACGACAAATCGAATCATTGGTTAACGGAACAGCAGCAATTTCACCGTCTGAAAGCATTCACGAGATGGGAAGGGTATTCTCAAACAGAAGTAATGTCAAGTTGGTCTATCAGTGTTGAAATATTAGCTGCAAAGAAAGGATAGAGAATTGACCAGTACGATTTAAATCCGACTATCATCAGTCACAAAGTGAAGTAGAGGAAAAGTTCAACTCAGGAATCATCACTAGCACCACCGGTATACTCCTGTCTGCTTCAGTACCTAAGGCGGATGAAAAGGGTACAATACGGACTTTGTCTTGGAGTGCATAATCGCCTGATTGGCGGTAAATAGAACACCTCCAAACCATTATGGATAGAATTCGCAAGTGAAGCAACAAACGCACGACAGTGAACAATATAACTAATCGGCTGCAGGCAAGTTTGTTGACGCCAGACCGTAGAGCCCACAGTCCCCGGCAACCGGTGACCTGGATGAATGGCGACAAAATTTCACACTTGAATCTAGTTGTGGGAGGAAAAACCGCTCGATATCGAAAGGCGTGGAGAGAGTTGGAAGTACGAGAAACTATGAAGAAACTGAACCGAAGGAGGAACATTAGTTGGCAACAGTCTGTGATGGAATGCCCCGTGATCCTAGTGTAGAGATAGTTTGAGAGACCCACTGACTGCTTACTTTCCAGTGTAAGGATAGACCGTTAAGTAGTTTGTTGCGTCTTTAGACCGTCAAAATAAGTTCAAAAGCAGCTAAACAAATGCTCATCAACTGTCTGAAAGCCGTAAAAATAATTTAACGAAAGGTTAGATAGCCAGGTCGGGAAAGACTAAGTTATGGTGCCGTTATATAATAGAGGATGTCATGAGGGCAGATATTCAATGTCAGTGAAACCGAAAATGTGGCTACCAAACAGTTACTTCGCGGTTCCTTAAACGGTGAAATGTCGTTATCACACGGTTAAATAACGGTCCAATGACAGTGAAATGCGGTTAGACGGTTGGTAGATCACCGTGATTCAGTGTGGAAATGAGGTTAAACACGGTTACTGGACGGTTATCAGTGTAACATAACATACGAACACGGTTTACAGTTACCATTCCACCTTAAGATAACGATGGAAAAGGGTTAAATGGGGGTTCGATGTTGCAGATGACCACTGTAGCATACAGTTGCCGTCATTTTGGTTGGTTGGTGATGTTTCGGCGGTGATGTTGTGGGGGTTGCGGTATGTAAGTAACGGTGATGTACAACCTTGCTTACTGGGCTTCAGCTCATGTGCTTTCTCTCTGTCTTGCATCCACGGAAATTGTCGTGAACACCAGGGAAATCACTGTTCCCTGATGTTACTAAACCACCAACGAAACATGTTGGGTGACTAGACAGTTATATGACCGTATTTGAGCCGGAAAACTGGTTGTTCATTGAAATCCGTTCCCCCAAAACGAACAAGCAGAATGTGTAGGACCACTCTTTAGGTCCTCAGCGCTGAGTATTAACACTGCCAGCACGAGGGTTCATTTTAAAAAAGCACCCATAAGTGCTTCGAAATCGTTCAGCTGTAAAACCCTTCAGGTGCCCAGTCGCTAGCCACCCGAAGGGAGCACGCGGGATGAGATACTGCCAGGGGAGGTCGAAAGGTAGAGGTCGGGTTAGAACCACGGATCTTCCGGTTAGTAGATTCGCGGTCAAACAACTTGAGCCATCTCGCCCCCGTGCTTCGAAACATGCAGCGTGAACAACCGCTGGAAGGTTATTCCATTCATTAGACACCAGAAATGAACAGAAAATATTGCCTTATAGATATTAAGTCTGCTAACCTCTCTGGCGGCACAACGCTCAGCTTCCCACCTTCGGACGCAGCAGAGATAGTGCTGAATTGCTTATCCACAAACTGCCCCTCTTCTCAACAAACTTCGCGACATTAAACAGTCAGCTTGCCGTGAACAGCTGTCCATAAGCACACTTGAAGAAACGCGGCTCACACCACACGTCTTCGACGTGGTGTCCATAGACGGCTACACCATTGTTCGAGCTGACTCAAAACGCAGCAGAGCAGGTCGGGTTGCTTTATACTTACATGCGACCCTGTCTATTCCGATTGTCCTTTCCGACGCCATTCCTGAACCTCTTTGTGGTGCACTGTGGATTCAATTCTCGCTGTGTGGGACCGATTCCTTTCTTGTTGACGTGGTCTACTGTTGCCCCTCGGGTCCACCGGAAGATAACCAGTTCCTCACACAAACCCTTGAGCCATTCTCTTCCAGCCAACACTTCACACATCTCTTGTTGGTGGGTGACGTTAACGCCCCAAAGGCAATCTGGATGGAACTCCAACGCATCGGGTCAAGTAGACATTCTGCATCAACGCTGACCGAAGTCGTTTAACGGAACCCTTTGACCCAACATGTCGTCGCACCCGCCAGATACCACGCAGGCCAATTACTATCCCTGCTGGATTTGGTATCACCAAAGAAAGACAATCCATTGGCTAAATGTCAATTAGAGCTCCACTGGGACATAGTGACCACCGTGAGCTGACGTTTGATTACATCGGCTACTGGGCCGGAAATCCTGAACCTTAGATGGGGATTCGAAACTTCTGCCGTGCAGACGTCCCAGAGGTGGGTAGCTTCCTTTAGCAATTTCAACTGGGACGAGCTTCAGCGGAAGAATTACATAGGACTACTGTCCAAAAACTCATGAGGCGACACGATGTAAGTCGAATGGACCAAAAGTTACCTTAAAAGATTCGGTGTCTTCTGGAAAAGAGGTCCCAACTATTTTTCCAAAGGATAACTACAGATCCGTCACGAAGAGACTGGGCGGTTGGCGCACCGAAGCGACCCACTGAGCTATCCTGAGTGGTGTCCCCGCGACACTCAGTCTCTCATACCAGGTCGGTCAGTGGTTAGAAGTTTGACGAACAGTCTCCTGGTCCTCCAGGTAGGGGGTTGAAAAATGTGGCGACTTGTTTCGTAGAATTGGTAATGCATTTGCATTTCCCGCAAAACACCGCTACCGTGCTGTTAGGCTTTTGAGCCGGTTTTGGTTGAGGACCCTAATCATCCTCTTGTCTAGATGTGGGCGCCCTGACAGTATCCCAACCCACGTGCAACCGTGAGACCTACGTCTAACAATAAACCCGCGCCACACCGGCCTTCGCGTGGTGCCATCAGCCGGGTCGCCTTATTCGCTGCATACAGCAGGGCGGGTAAGCGAAAACAGGCTACTGCTGACGCCTCCCTTCTTTCTCCTTCACATACCTTTTCTTCCCCCTCTCCCCACCCCATTAATAACTCTCTCCTTGTAGGCCCAGCACTTAGAACTAATGGCTCCGTTACATCGGTTTTCCGTGCAGCATCTGCTCGTCACATGGCACCGACATCCTCAGGTATCTTCCAATCAACCCTCAAGCCTCGACACTCAGTCTGCCTGCCCGCCTTCAATGCCTGAACTCTGAAGCAAGTAGGGCAACAAGCTGCCCTTGCTCTCACACTGGACCCGCTTGGCATTGATGTGCTCGAAGATTATTTCAATTGAGTCGTGCGACCGGATCCCAGAAACCGCCTGTGAGCGAAACTATCAAGGATCGGAATGGAGTGATTATCTCGTATAAAGAAGAACGCCTCGACCGATCGACCGAATACTTCGAACAATTGTCATGCCCACCAGCTGCAACTCATCTGGAGCTCATAGGTGACGTACAACCCTGTACGGTGAACGTGGAACCACCTACGGCATCGGAGGTTTTTTGACTGCATATGTTCTCTCACCGAGCTTCTGGTCCGGATGACGTTTTCTCAACGCCACCGAGCTTCTGGTCCGGATGACTTCTCACCCGCACTGTTCAAAGGTGGGGGTGATGTCCTCAGTCAGTGCTTGTAAGATCAGTTTTCTTGCATTTAAGAAAATGAGTCTACCCATGTTCAAAAAGTGAATGTGGTAACCATAGGGGATCAGCTTGACTCCGGTCGTAATGAGACTGTTGGCATCACTGATGCTTCGCTGCCTTATGGTGGCTCGTGGAACACTGACTCGAGTGCAGCAAGCAGGATTGTAGCCTAGTTGGGAGTGCATTGTCATCATCATCATCAATGACAGCAACATCAGTGTTGGCACTGATGCTTCACTGCC